GTTTCACCATCTTAGCCAGGATGGTCTCGATCTTCTGACCTCATGATCCGCCCGCCTCGGCCTCCCAAAGTGCTGGGATTAGTGTGAGCCACCACGCCCGGCCGTGAACAGTTAGTTTTTTATAATCAGCCAACAGAAATTAAATCCATCCAATTATTAAATATTTTCTAAATGTTTGTAATTCAAGAATGAGGGAGGAGTGAAATATTTTTTAAGAAGGTCCTTACCCAATCAAATGAATCTGTAATTTCTAACTAGTTTATAGCAAAAGATGTGGAGAATTTAGTATTCAGAATTTCCTGTGATTATTTGTTTACTTGTAGACCCAGGTGAGATTAACAAAATTGAGACAAGAAGCCAACACTCTGAAATTAACCAGTCCTTTTTGATGTGTAGGCCTACCCACATGCTAATCAACATTCAATATCTGTAGTCTCTTTATGCTGGTGTTATTTAATCCATTTCCACATACAACTTATCTACTTTCTAAGCTGAGTAAAAAGTTTAAACTGATGACTTTTAAGATATATAAAACAGGCTGAGCAACAGGGCACACACCTGTGATCCCAGCATGTTGGGAGGCTGAGGTCGGAAGATTGCTTGAGCCTGGAGGTTCAAGACCAGCCTGGGCAACATGGCAAAACTCCATCTCTAGAAAAAATTTTTAAAATAGCTGATTGTGGTGGTGCACACCTGCAGTCCCAGCTACTGGGAGGTGGAGGTTGGAGGATGGCTTGAGCCTGGGAGGCAAAGGTTGCAGGGAGTCATGATCATGACACTGCACTCCAGCCTAGGCACTGGAGTGAGACACTATCTCAAGAATAAAAAGAGAAAAAGATATAAAACATATCTAAACTTGGCAACAGGCTAGCAGATTTTTTTCTTGAGAACATGATATGTAACTATGCAATTCCTTGTGAAGTACTTTATGTAATAATAATAAGTGACAAATTTATTATTGACAGTGAAATAGGTCAGGTATTTTGAAAAGACTATAGTTGGAAGTGAAGTGAAATTTGCAGAGAGAATTTATAGAAAAGAGATTTTTTTGGATTTTCAAATTCAGTTTCTTTTTTGTTTCTTTTCTTTTTTTTTTTTTTAGTAGCTGGGACTACAGGGTCATGCCATCACACTTGGCTAAATTTTTTTGTATTTGTTGAGATGGGGCTTTGCCGTGTTGCCCAGGCCAGTCTCCACCTCGTGGGGTCATGCGATCTGCCTGCCTTGGCCTCTCAAAGTGCTGGGATTACAGGCATGAGTCACCGTGCCTGGCTTTCAAGTTCAATTTCTAACTAAATAATAGACCTCAAGTTACTTGGAGTAGGAGTGGGGAACCTAATAAATAGAGACTATGTGGAAAAGATTAGAGGCATGATATTTGTTTCATGTATTGGCATGGAATAAAAAGAAAATGTTTTTTAAACTTTTTTTTTTCCCAGTGTACCCTAATGATTAATGGTCTTTGGTTTTCTTCAGATTGGAGAAATTAGTTCCCAGTACAGTGTTTGACTTTGTTTTCTTTTTTTGTTTTTTTTTGAGACAGGGTCTTGCTCTGTCACCAGGCTGGAGTGCAGTGGCCCTATCTCGGCTCACTGCAACCTCAGCCTCTCAAGTAGCTGGGACTACAGGCGTGCACCACCACGCCCAGCTCATTTTTGTATTTTTAGTAGAGACAGGATTTCACCATGTTGACCAGGATGGTCTCCATCTCGTGATCCACCCGCCTTGGTCTCCCAAAGTGCTGGGATTACGAGCCACTGCACCCGGCCAACTTTGTTTTCATAAACTACTACATGACTACATGGCAGTTTGTCTTAGCAAGCTATTTTATTTGTTTTTGATTCTCTAGTTGTCTGAGGGAAGCCAAAAGCATGCAAGCCTGCAGAAAAGCATTGAAAAAGCTAAAATTGGCCGATGTGAAACGGTAAGTTTGTGTCTATAGATTCTTTTAATAATGGCAATTCTACATATTAGAGTAAGGACACAGAGCTTCCTGTGAGGAGGATGCATTTCTACCAGAAGAAAAGGAGATCATAGCCAAGGATATGAACGTTTGACCCAGTAGGATTCACTAATTGTGAGTCTAGATTTTGTTATTATTATATATGGTAGCATAGCATAGAAACATAAACCCTAGAGCCAGACTGCCTGGATTTGAAAGTCTCCTAAATTCTGTTTTCACTTTTCTCTGTTGCAAAATGGGGAATAATAAAATCTATTATACTTCATTGGGTTATTGTATGGATTAAACTAGTTAATATTTGCAAAGCCCCTTGAAGAGGACCTGGTACACGGTAAGCCCTGTATAAATGTTTATGTAAATTTTTAAGAGTCTTTTAAAAAAAATTGTATAGAACAAACTGAAAACCATCAACATAGTATCTTTGTGGCCTTGTAATATTTAAAAATTTTTTAAATAAATATTGACCTTTTTTTTTAAAGTGCAATATTTTTCTAAGTATTAGGTTAGAGATTTAAAAAAATCATTTTACTTTCTATTTTCATCATTATCTGAACTATAGACTTATGACTTTAAAAAATATTGAAGATCAACATGAGCCACTAAGCATTTCATCTGGGCCTCTATTTGTGTCACTTGATTGGGAAAGAAAGCAACTGGAAAACTTGTCGCATAGTAGAAAGGGATATAGCAAAGCTTTACAGTGGCTTTATGCTTTCAAAGTTATTTCACATATATTGTTTTATGTGAATCATCAGCACAATCACAGATAGGAATTGGAGAATAGTCGTTTCTAAAGAATATTCAAGGAAAGGTAAATTCTGGGCATAACCTGAAGCTGTTCTATTTCTTCCTCAGTTGACAATAGCAACTACCACTTTATTTGATCCTTTTGTTTGTTTTTTTAAACACTGGCAATAACTTGTAGAACCACCTTCAACTAATGGTGACATACACTTGCCCTGAAGTTGTCAGCCAGTCTACTGTTAATCCACTGAAACAAGTACATCTTGCAGGGAAAAACCCATCAGCAAACATAGTTGCCGCCTGCAGATATCAGAAGAGCTTAATGGTTCAGAAATGTTCCTAAGAAAGATGAAGTCTTGTGCTTATCCTGATCTTACCAGCCAGGACTTTTCAGAACTACCTAGCGCCTATCTGCTAGATATTATTCTTGATGATGGTGGTGATCCTGCTGTTGGTAAAGAAGAAAAATAGCTAACATGTGTATTCTGCTTACTCTGAGCCAGGCAACTACTGTTCTAAATGCATTTTGTGTATTTATTGAATCCTACCAGCAGTCTAGGGAGGTGGCTACCGTTACTGTCTCCATTTTGCTTTTTGAGGAACTGGAGGCACAAACAGGTTAAATAATTTGGCAAAGATCTCAATGATAGTGACTGTCTAAGATTGTTTCAATGCGTGATACCTGGAGAACTATCATTGTATTCACAATGGATGTTCACCACTCTGCTTCTCCTGTCTTTTTTTCTCCTCTTGATTTTGTTTTGTTTTGTTTTGTTTTTTGGTTTGTGTTTTAGAGATGGAGTATCTCTGTATTGCCCAGGCTGCCCTTGAACTCCTGGGCTCAAGTGATCCCCCTGCCTCAGCCTCCTGAGTATCCGGTACTACAGGCAGGCGCCACCACACTTGGTGACAGTGTTCCTTTTGAAGCATGTATAATTTGGGTATTGATGGCAAATAATGACTTATCTTCTTATATTCTAGTTATTTTAAAATCTCTCCTGAGCTGTGAAGTATAATATACACTAACCATGTGTGGCTATTTATATTTAAATAAAAATTAGCTACAGTTAAATTTAGTTTCTCAGTCATAGTAGCCACATTGCATATATTGAGTAGCCACATGTGGCTAGTGGGTCTTGCAGTGAAGAGTGCAGATCTAGAAAGTTTTCCTCACTGCTGAGAGTTCTGTTGGGGCGTGCTGCTTCTGAGCGTGCTGCTCTGTATACGCAGTCTCTTGTACAAATGCTAGCAAAGGAACTGTCTTCGCTTTGGAACCAAACGAAACAGCTAAAAGCAAAGTAGAAAAATACAAATAAAAAATATAAGGTAGTTGGGAACCTTACAAGTCGTGTTAAGCAGTTTGAACTTTACTTGATTTTGCCTCGGATTTATCCTATGATTCTGTACTATAATCTTTGCGAACATTTGGTTTTTGTTTGGGCTTTTCAGGTTTCAGAAATACAAAATGAATACTTATAGCACTATGACTTCCACCTGCTAGTGAGAAATATGGCTAGACATTTCAAATGGTTTTTATTGGATTATATTGTATTTTGAAGCTTTATTCTGGTTTACCTTTAAAGAATAGGTAGTAGGAGGCCTCAAGCTACAATTGTGTTATTTCTTTAAATGTATATAAAATATTAAGGATATATTAAAATATTCTTAAAAATTGAAAAATTGTCTAGAACACTGTTAAAGATAATTGTATAATGATCAATGTTGTCTTAAAATGTTACTTACATATGTAGCCTTGTGAAACTACTCAAAAAGTAGTATAATTTTTTTCTCTAACATACGATGACATGGTCATCTTAGAGTTCTAACATGAACCTCT